CCTAGTTTTACACTTTCGAAAATCTTTTCACGTCCATTCAGTGCAGTAAAATTTGTTCAAATAGTCAGTCTTGTTGACAAAAGATTTCTCTACAAAATGAGATCTCTCCTAGCTGCCCAGCATGTTTCCTGATAGAGTTCTAATCATTTTGCCGGCAACTGGTCACCAGTTCCAGTTACTAGGAACGGTAACTGGTCACCAGTTCTTTTTACCAGTTACTAGGAACAATGAGAACTGGAACTGTCCTACCCCTACGCCCTACTCTACCCTAAAAATGTTTCGCACCCTTAACCTACCCTACCCTGTAAAGTTTGCACCCTACCCTACCCTAATAGGACAGGATAGGGTAGGGTCATCCTGTATACCTCTATTGTCCTTCAGAACCGTCAGGTTTAACCAAAGGCAAGAAAGGGTTAATATACTCTATGAAGTGAGTATGCTAAAAAAACTAAAGAACAGTGTTAAAACTATAACATCTTCAAGAAACGTCATGATTTGCTCACGGTCGATGAATTTATATTCTTTTGACTTTTATATATCTAACAGTACCTTTTAGCTTTAGATTGTGTTTCCTGTTCTACTTTTCGGGTCAAGATAAGCTATACTAGAAACGACCTGTCCAACGATAGGTCTCCGTCGCTTTTCGTTTTAAAAGTTAATTTGAAAATATCCATGGGCTTTCTTTAGTGAAATGAACAGTAACGAAAGGAAGTAGTACGTACAAAAAAAGAGTGGTTACAGAAAATCGACTGTTATTAAAGTGTCAATTAATCTGTGTTTAACATCAAATTAACCATCGAACACTGCATTACAATAGCTGCATTTGCGATCTTGCATGGCAAACAGACAAATTAAACCAATTGGAAAAAAGCATATGGCGCAAAATATACCAGTACAATTGGGTTCACTCTGTAACATGCCTATCTAAAACGAATAGAGAATACATCGTTAGACAGAGTCAGAATTTCGATTTTGTTATTCTCGTTCTGATGAAGAAGTAATCGATGTTGAAATCTTAAAGTCCAGTGCTGTCTTGGATAATACTCGAGAGATGCGCTGGGAAAGAATGAAACATAACAATCTTATCATGTTGGGAATTGTGACCTGAAATATTTTTTTTTTCATATCTATCTACTACACTTTTTAAGATGTGAATGGAGGCAGCTAAGATCTTCATAACCATAATCAGCTCCAAATTTTCTACAAGATAGGATACTTTTCATCTCGTTTCTAGAGGAAAAACTTATCTGAACATGTTCCCTGCTTAGAGAAAGAAAAGTATTTTGTTTCGACACACACTACCATGTGGCATGAACGTAAACTAGACGTAAAGGATATAGTACACTTTATATGCTAGGCACAAACACGAGATACACATATCAACTTTATACGAAAATTAGTAGTTTTTCTTCGCTACACATAGAATTTATCCTAAAAAAGGTAAGTCAACTGAACTAAGCAAACATCTAACTTATAACAAGTCAATTTTCAAGCTGTGGAAATCGCTTCATCAATATCGTTCTTATTCTACTTCTGTCTAATAGTACTTCTTGGTCTTTGAAAGTGAAAGTATTCTTTTGCTAGATCCACATCTGATAAACGTTGCAAACGAAGTTTTTTCTAGAAAAGCAGCTTACCCTGCAATTTGGACAGTTTCCCACATAAACAACAGCTGCTGGTTGTGTGAAAATGGTTTGTGGCTGAGAATAATAAGGAGGAGGTGCTTCACTGTTATCCTTGTCCATGTGAATGCAGTTAATGTTGTTGTATCTAGTGTATGAGTTTGTATACTCAAGCCTATATACTCTTTTTCATATTGACACGTCATTGTCGATAACAGTCAAGAGTAATAACACACTTTTTACATGTTTTATCGGTTGTCTAGGTGCACCATAAAGCGAAGATAACAGAATCGCAGCGAGAAAGTGAGTATGATTCATCGTTATGACGTAATGCTGCATTTCTGCATCTTAATCTATCTTCTGTAAACTGAAGTGGAAGATGGAGAGAATCGCTCTCGAATAAAAAAGAAGTTTCGCGTGTATTGTTTACTCTATGTTGAATGATGTGCTTTAACCTTGAGAAGTTATTTACCCATGCATGTTGCGCTTAGACGCCAAATTATACATGAATTATACTAAAGATGAGATGAAAGAATAACGTTATATTTCTTCGTTCTTTTTGTCTTGTGTCTAGTTATTATAGTTCTCTTTCATTGTTACGTTTGATATATAGCATGACATACGTTCTTACGAAAAAAAAATGCTAAGGCAAAACTTTCACTTTCATTCATTTCATATTTCTTTCTTTTTTCCTTTCGTCTATTCGTAAGACATATTAAAGAAATAAATGAAAGTTTTATGCGAGGAAAAGAGGAACAAGCAAACAGCAAAGAAATTGCAGATTTCACAAAATTTGTTTTAAAAAAATGCTTTATACATTCTGATAACCACCTGATATTTCCTTTCTGCTTGTCTATGGGTACATCATCATTGTCTCACATTTCATGCTTTTTATCTTCTCCGAAGTTAACACAAAGACAAATTTCAGTCAACTTTTCGGTCTGCAGTAACGTGATCTTTTGGCTAAATTTTGAACATAAATCACAGATTTGAGTAAAAAAGAGGTAAAACAACAAAATTCGGCGTCACACAAAGCAAAACACCTGTCTTAACTCCATTTTCACTAAGCATTAATCACAGAAAATGCCTATGCACACGCACTAACAGTAACAACAACGAAAAATAAGAAGAGAATCACTGCGCGAGAGAAAAAGACGTCTCTTTTTGTCGTAAAGCAAAGAATTTAATCCTCAAATTGAGAGTTTTTGTTCAAAAATATAATTGAGTTAACGCAGTCAGGAGACAATCGCGAACGACGCTCGCTTGTTATGAGACCACTAATTGAAAATGCACGTTCCGATGGAGTGCTTGTTGCTGGAACACAAAGATATTTTCTGGCAATTTTTCCTATTGTCGGAAATCGTGATTTATTTTGACCCCACCAGACCAATGGACAAGTTTGTTGTCTTAATTCATTTTCGGCTAAATATTCAGTCAATTCACTGAACGTAGATGATCTTTGACGAGTAATTAACTGTGATAAAACTGAACTTGATGATAGAGGAGTTGAGAGAGATGAAGAGTTTGTTGTGGCTGGCTGAATATGCTGCGGTGTTGTTAATTTTATGGATTCATCGTTTAAATGTTTTTCAGCCGAGGCCAAATAGTATAAGCTTTCCACTCTTGTAAAGTTTTTCTCACTGTACCATTTTGTTAAAATAAATTCAGTTGAGCGAATGTGAATTGTTTGAAACGAGGATCGAGAATCGTTCCAAGTAAATAATATTTATTTGAAAATGCGTCTGAAAACCATTTCTTCATTTGTTCAAGCATAGCCGGTCTCATAGTATCAATTTTTGTCGAATCTAGTTCAAGCAAATTTAATATAACTGTTAAAAATGGTAGAACTAAACAAGCTGTGGCATTTGTTGCCGATGAGATGGCCCGTGTAATTTCTTCTAATGGTTCAAATAAATGTAATAACAATTTCAGTAGATCGAAATCGATACTCGTTATAATACTCGTGTCTTTTAACCATCGAACGAAGTGTGGATATGTAAAACATAATACCAATGACAATTCTTTTTGAACGAAACGTTTTATCATGTAATATGAGCTGTTCCATCTAGTACAGACATCTTCGACGAGATCCATTGTAGGTAAAGCGAGAGTTGTTTGTGCAGTAGGTAAAGCGAGAGTTGTTTGTGCAGTTGACAGATCTTGCTTAGCTTTATAGCTCTTTCTCACATGTGACACAATTTTCGCAACCTATTTAAAAACAAAGATCCGGAGCAGTGAAAAAGGCTCGTTATATCCATTCTTTTATCAGAAAATGCAGACCTTCTTTCGAGTTTTTGTCCAAGAACTGTTTGCAGAAAGCTAAAAACGAAGAGTAAAGAGGTTTCGCAAGTTAGGCATTAGTACTATTCAGTGAAAAAGATCGGACCGAGCCTTCTCTATTGCGTGACTTCTGACTTTGATCAGGTAACTGCTATCTGTCACGACTGACGTGGAGATGGAGAGATCAGTTCTGACATCTTAAAAAGTTGTTGGATTCACCATGGCAGATTTATAGAAAAAATTTAGGTTCCAAAAACACTTTGAATCTTTTTACTAAGAACACAAACTTTTTCGTCAAAAAAAGTTTTTTAAAGAATTATGACGACCAAAAAAATGAGCTAAATTGCGGTCTCCGTTTGTAAACTGATTTTTAAAGTTTTTAATTTTTTCATCGTGTTAGTTCTGATGCCTCTTTCCCCTCGAAGCTTCTTTCTGTATGGCGCTTTTTTATTCTCTTGTTGTTCTAAGAACTCAAGAATAGATTACTAATTAAAACAAAAATTTACCTACAGAAGAGATCCGTTTTCGTATATTTGGAACTGCTGAACCTTCCCCAATTACTGTCTGTAATAAATGTGAAAAGGAGCCAGTCCAGCCTAGATGTAGATCTCGTCCAACTTTTATGTTTGTATTATCAGAAACGACACAAATAACAATATCCAATAATTTCCAATCAATCAGTGTTTTGCTGATTCGTTCTTTAATTCCATCTGCATTATGTTCATCGTTATAATCCAACGTTTTTATAGCTTTATTTTGTAATATGTAGTGATCATCAACGAAATGTGTTGTAATCGCAATGTGGTTGATTTTATTGTCTGATGTCCACATGTCTGTCGTGATTGCAATGAATCCGGCCTCTTTCATTTGCCCTTGTAACTCTAGTTTCACTTTTTCATATGCATTTTTAATTATATTATCACGAAAATAGTTTCGTGTAGGAATTAAATACGATGGTTCCTGTTGCCTCATCAGTTTCTTCAATGTTTTACTCGATTCTAAAACTTAGGGGCTCTAAATCACGTGTAACAAATTCACATAGTAAATGAGAAAGTTCTTTAGATCGAGCATGATCTAAAGGTAAAACTGCTTCATTTGTTCTTTGTCTCTTCGGCTGCTGTTGACGAAAAAGCGCATGTTCCTTGGGATGATGTATAGATAAATGATAAATCATGCCTCCAGTCGTCTTCGTATTGTGTTCGAGTTTTTGTTGACATAACGCGCAGTATAATTCATTGTTATTTTCCGAAAAATATGTCTAGACTAAGCTTCTTTTTCTTTTAACTGCTGGACAGTTTGTTAAAGTAGAATGAAAAGAAGAATTCGTTTGTGGAGATTAGACCTGTAACAGTTCCAGCTCATAAGTTCAGCTCATTTGAGCGAAAGAACTGTTGAACAGTTCTTTTAAAAGGAGCTGATATGTTTGAACAGCTCTTTTCAAATTTTAAAAATTGAAATTTTTTGAAATTTTTTCAACGACTACTGCTAAAGCTTTCATCCTGAAGCAAGAGCTTGCTCAACTCGAAGCACTGGGCGCTCCTGAAGTCCAGGAGTCCAAGAGCATAGTGTTCTTTTTTGGGAAGTGATTCCCAAAAAAGAACACTTTACTCTTGGACTCCTGGACGTCAGGAGTCCAATGGGAGTCCAGGAGTCCAGGGGTCCGCTTTTCTCCCCTTGTATGAACGTCTAGTGAACATTCAGGACGTTTAAATTTTGTCTAGGCGACTAGTGAGCTGCTGGAACATGTTAGCTCCTTTCAAAAGAGCTGTTCGAACATATTAGCTCCTTTCAAAAGAGCTGTTCAAACATATCAGCTCCTTTCAAAAGAACTTTTCAACAGTTCCTGTGATAGGAGCTGATATGGAACTGTCATACCCCTAGTGGAGATGAAGAAGTGACTTGCTGTGTCATTGATGTAGGAGATGGCGTGGTAGTAGCAGACATTCGAACGGTTTAGACAAAACTTTTTAGAAACCGAGAAAATTTATTTGGAGCAAGAGTGAGAGAAGCAGGATCCAGAAAAATGTAACAGTAGTTGTAAATGTTGTGCTTTGTTTTCCTTCTAACTTTTGACATTTCTTTTTTTCCTTATTCAAGGCTCTAGTAAAATATAACGCCTCATACACATGTCAAAAGGAAGAATGACTCATGTTTTCACAAATTGTGAAAGTTTGTCTATTCACTTTCACTTTGTTTGAAAATATATCTAGACACTTTCATGAGAAATGAAAGTTCGCACAAACGAATATTGGAATATTGGCCGACTAAAGTCAGAAAATCTAACTTCTGTACGACAGAGACTAACATCGTCGGCCTTTTTGCCCGGAAAGGAAAAAAAGCACTTTGTGCATTCATTTGCGCAACATGTTTTGAATATTTTGGGAACGAAAAAAGCTAGAGCTCCATGGTTTTCACTGATCGATAGAGACGATTCGAGCGTGTGATTTTATGGCAAAATATCTTTCACAAAATCCTTTAACTTGAAATTCTCCTGACGAATATCATGTTTAAAAAATTTTAAAGTAACGTACGGTGGTCTTCTAGATCTGTGAATCTCATTTTTTAGCAGAACGAACATTTTGTGGACGTTTTAGTCATTTATTAGTATTTATTAGTATAACTTCGCCAGAGGCATTTTTGTGAAGAACCGGTTTTTCACCCATTACCAGCTAAAATTAAAATCCTTATATCTCGCTCAAATCTCATGCTGAATCAAGAATATTTTTAGGGAAGACTTAAAAGCCACCATTTATTGTTAATCAAGCCTAAAAAGTGATCCAGCAGAACACTAAGGCTTTGGGGTTCTTCAGAAAGTTTCTGGAAAACCTGAAATGAATGCCCAGCTGGAATTCACCTTTTTCGTCTTTGATTAAGATTTATGAGCTGTCCCGACCGTTTTCTGAAAATATCCTTGATTCAGCATGAGATTTGAGCGAGATATAAGGATTTTAATTTTAGCTGGTAATGGGTGAAAAACCGGTTTTTCACAAAAATGCCTCTGGCGAAGTTATTTTCATTCCTACACAACAACAAATGTTGTCACTATGTTCAACGTACTCGATTACCTATATTCCATGGCATTTCCAGGTTCCCAGAGATGTCTACTCGGAGATAGACACGTGCTCGGGGACGGCAAGCCTCTCCGAACGACCATATCTGGAGAGCTGGGACTTGCATAATCTTGTAGAGTACCGTCCGGACTACCTACCTATACATGCATTAAAATTACTAACATTGTATGTTAGTTTTCTGAGAACGGTACTGATGATCGTTTTTTCATATATTCGACATTATAGGATCTATGACATTTTGATATATAGTGTAAGATCTTTTAACAATGTAATAGGCAATATTTGGTCTAATTGCACTCATCGATGCGGTCTTTTAGGGGCTTCAATTTGGTTTAAAATACTTAGTGAAATCATTTAACCTTAAGGTCGAACCAGGTGGGCGTAAAGGTTTTGCAACACCCTGCAATATTTTCATTGATTTTGTATTTTGCTATACAAATCCCAGTTCTTTTAGATGTTTTGATGAACTTCATTAGCTGATAATCCAAAAATCCGAGTCTTTTAACAATCGTGTTTGCACGAGAAAAAACAATATAATCCTATGTAGAAATGTGTACGGACGGCTTGGTTTTACAGAGATCTTGCCCATTATTCTTTCAAGGCAGGCGATGAAGAGGATTGGATCTTCCTACATTTGCTTGAGATTATTCGCCGATGTCTTTTCCGGTTCGAACTGCTGATTGTGCTTTTTTTCCAAATCGTAGTTATTTTAGACGTTTTGATGAACTCCATTAACTGACAGTCCAGCATCTGGATCTTTTAACAATCCTGTTTCTAAGCATCTCAAAGTGGAATGGTCACTTTCTAATAAAAAGTGTGCAGATTTAACCGAATAAGATCTTGCCTACAAAAACACGTGTAGTGTATATGTTTAGAGTAAAAGAAAATTTTAAACTTCATTGATCACAGCAGAAAGTAAGGGTAAGAAAGAGAAAAGTAGTGTATGTGTCCTGATCAGGAAAGTCCTGTGCTTCAGAAAAACAAGTACTACGGCTAGAGATTTCGTAAAGCTCAAGGCGATGAGTAGCTTCTTGAAAATCATGCATAGAAATAATTTATTTCACTTCTGTTTTCGAAATAACACTCGTCGACAGCATTTCTCTAACGTTGAAATTTTTATGTTAAATACTATAATTTCTTCCTTGTTCGTAACTGTAGTCTACTGCTCTATATTTTAGATCGTTTACTCAGTTGGCTGTCATTAGTTTTTCTAGAAATCAAGCATTCCTGGGGTAACGTTTATAGTACACAAGTGGAACATCATTGGATCTTTTATCCCAGCAGTTGAAATTTTCTACTTGAATGAATCACCACAACAAATGTTTGAATACAAATTATAGGATAAATAAATAATTATAAGAGTCATTTGTCGGTTATTGTTGTAGTAACGATTTTTACTACTTTAACACATATAGTAATTACTATATAAATAGAACATCATGTTATCGCTGAGGAGTGAGAAAGAATCTGAAAGTGTTCTCAGAGCTGGAAATATCGGGCAAAAGCTACACCAACAGAAAGTACTATATTCTGCGAAAACTGTTGATCTTCGTTTTACAATTCAGTAAGAGCAGTTATTCACACTGTTGGCTAAGCGATGATCGCGTTCGAGAGGGGTTGCGGAGTCCAAGTCTTAAAG